AGCAGAACAGTGAAGGGAAAGGGAAAACCCACATACACACACACACACACACACATAAATATACGCAAGGATTATGCAATAGCCCACTGTTGGGACCTGCGATTCTGTAGGATTTGATTTATTGGGGGGGGGAGGCTCTAAATCAGAGATCCTAACTTGTCCTGGATAGCAAGAACATTCTGCCTAAAACAATGGTTGACGCATCCTGGTTACAGCAAAATATCTCCATGTAACACCATCATGTGTGCTGGATCCCAATAGACCAATGGTTCTCAATCTGTGGGTCGGGACCCCATTTGGGGTCGAACGACCATTTCACGGGGGTCGCCAAACAATGCAGTCCGCCATTTTTTCCCCCTTTTCCTTAGCTGTGCTACTCTCTTTTATTCTGTTGGCTTTTGAAAGCCAATAGAATACACTCTCTTGAATAGAGTCTCATTCTATTGGCTTTCAAAAACCAGTAGGAATTGTCCAGGCTGTCTCTGCCCTGCTGAGCCCACCAAAAGTCCCATTCTGCAAACGGTGCTGCACCAGTTGAGTAGTCCTCGACTTACGACCGGTTGAGTAGTCCTCGACTTACGACCGGTTAGGGGTTGCGGCATTAAAAAGGTTGAGAACCACTGCAATAGACAATAAAGTGTAATTCAAGGTGCTACTTATTAGATTTTTATTTTTTATTAGATTTATCCAACCTTTATTACTTTAGAATTAACTCTAAGCAGCCTAGAACATCCCTAATACTCCCCCTATTTTCCCCACAACAGCCCCCTGTGAGGTGGGTTGGGCTGAGAGAGAAGGACTGGCCCAAAGTCACCCAGCTGGTTTTCATGGCTAAGGCAGCGCTAGAAAACTCACTGCCTCCTGGTGATTGGCCCCAAATCACTCTGTTTTTGTGCTTAAGGCTGGATTAGAACTCACTGTCTCAAGGAGATTCGCCAAAATCCACCCAGCTGGCTCTTGTGCCTAAAGTGGGATTAGAACTCACCATGTCCTGATGATGGGCCTAAAGCCACACAGCCGACCTTCACGCCTAAGAACTAGAACTGTCACCCAGCCAGCTTTCACACCTATGGCAGGACTAGAACTCGCCCTCTCCTATGATTGGCTCTCATTCGTAAGCTCTCGTTCCTGGCTTTTGTGCCTAAGGCAAAACTAGAACTCCCCTGTCTCCTGGTGATTGGCCCAAAGTCACCCAGCTGGCTTTCATGCCTAAGGCGGGACTAGAACTCTCTGTCTCCTGGTGATTGGCCCAAAGTCACCCAGCTGGCTTTCATGCCTAAGGCGGGACTAGAACTCTCTGTCTCCTGGTGATTGGCCCAAAGTCACCCAGCCGGCTTTCATGCCTAAGGCGGGACTAGAACTCCCTGTCTCCTGGTGATTGGCCCAAAGTCACCCAGCCGGCTTTCATGCCTAAGGCGGGACTAGAACTCCCCTGTCTCCTGGTGATTGGCCCAAAGTCACCCAGCCGGCTTTCATGCCTAAGGCGGGACTAGAACTCCCCTGTCTCCTGGTGATTGGCCCAAAGTCACCCAGCCGGCTTTCATGCCTAAGGCGGGACTAGAACTCCCCTGTCTCCTGGTGATTGGCCCAAAGTCACCCAGCCGGCTTTCATGCCTAAGGCGGGACTAGAACTTCCCTGTCTCCTGGTGATTGGCCCAAAGTCACCCAGCTGGCTTTCATGCCTAAGGCGGGACTAGAACTCTCTGTCTCCTGGTGATTGGCCCAAAGTCACCCAGCTGGCTTTCATGCCTAAGGCGGGACTAGAACGGAAATGTTTGCCTCGATTGTGGTGGTAAATCAAGGACTACCTTTATTACAGCCACCCAGGTCCAGATGTGAGGAAACCTCTGCATTTAAATATTATTAAATATTAATAATAATAATAAAGTTTGAAGGAACCTTGGAGGTCATCTAGTCCAACCCCCTGCTCAGGCATGTAACCCTATACCATTTCGGACAAATGGTTGTCCAGTTTCTTCTTAAAGACTTCCAGTGTTGGAGCATTCACCACTTCTGGAGGCAGATTGTTCCACTGGTTAATCAGGAAGTTTCTCCTTAGTTCTAGATTGCTTCTCTCCTTGATCAGTTTCCATCCGTTGCTTCTTGTCCTGCCTTCAGGAGCCTTGGAGAATAGCTTGACTTCCTCTTCTTTGGGGCAGCCCCTGAGATACTGGAACACTACTATCATGTCCCCCCTCGTCCTTCTCTTCGTTAAATTAGACAGACCCAATTCCAGCAACCATTCCTTATATGCTTTAGCCTCCAGTCCCCTAATCATCTGTATTCTGTATTCGGGCAGGGGTGCAAATCAAAGCACCTTTAACATCACCGCAAAGGCCCAAATGTATGGTGGGTTTTTTTGCACTGTTTATTTTTTAGCAACTTAAGGGGAAACCTCTGTCTTCTCTGCCAAACTGCCATGAATAAAGTCCAGCTGCTCCCAGAACACAGAATAATGGGAGAAAAAATACTCCCTCTTTGACTGAATAGGTTAAAAGAGAAAGATAAAAGTGTAAAGTGTGACACACACAAACACCCAACCTCTTGATGTTCGGGACAACAACGTTCAAAATCACGTTATTCCATGTGTTCATCGGTTCCGGTTTATCCCTTGTATATTTAATTTTAAATTTTATTTCTTGACATTTCACATTAGGGCTTCAACGCTCTGTGGGTGAGTATTTGATTCGTTAGCTGCATTTTCTATTAGGATCGATAGATTTAGTTAGCCATATGCAGGTAGTCCTCAACCTATGACCACAATTGAGCCCAAAATTTTGGTGGTTAAGCAAGACATTTTTTTAGTGAGTTTTGCCCCATTTTATACCCTTTCTTGCCACTGTTGTTAAGTAGATCACCACAGTTAAGTTGGGAACACGGTTGTTAAGTGAATCCAGCTTCCCCCATTGACTTTGCTTTTCAGAAGGTCGCAAAAGGGGATCACGTGACCCCAGGACACCATCGTAAATGTGAGTCAGTTGCCAAGCATCTAAATTTTCATTATTTAACCATGGGAATGGTGCAACAGGCATAAGTGTGAAATAGTCATGTCATTTTTTTGTGCCATTGTAAATTCAAACGGTCGAGGACTACCTGTATTTGTTATCTTATGGATGCGTTCTCATGGTTTTCTTTTTCATTGTTCATTTTATTGTTCATATTTTATTTCTGTTTTGTACATACTCTTTTCTTTTCTTTCTTATTTTTCTAAGCCTGAGGGTTACTCTTTTGCTTTTAAATATATTTATCTTTATTATAGGTTTTTCTCCAGAGTTTGTACTTTCAACTTTGTGTATATTGTATCTTTTTTTGCTTTTAACATTATTGTTTGCATCCTTGCCTTCCTATGCTGGCCTATCACTGTAATTAAAATTACATTTTGTTTGTATGGTTTGTCACCTTGAGTCCTCCTTAATTGCAAAGGAACAAACATGTGCATTCAGAAATCGCTAACCCGGGTTAATTTGAGACCATGGTTTCAATTGTCTCACATCCAATGTCTAATCATTATAAACCTTTAATATGCTTTTATGCATAATTCACACAGCCTGACAAGGCTTATTAACTAGGTTAGGTAAATGCCTTGCAAAATAATCTTTGTTAACAGCCTATCAACACGGTGTGTTTATGGCCAGCAATAGCAAGATGCTGGTTTATAACTCAGTGTCTCCTGCAAATTGAGAAAGCAGGTTAATTCAACAACCGCGTGTTGTGTGAACATGGCCAATGAGACACAGCAGGTGACTCAACTCCTGTTTCTACCCAGCTGAGAATCCCTCCTATTCATTTGACCCAGTCTGGACAGGGGCAAGCCCGTGGACTCTTCTTTCACACAACCATTCACGTACACACCCAGAGCAAGCCAACTTATGAGTTTGCTGGTTTCAGCTCAATGGCTTTGTGGATTGGCACGAAGAGGGGGCCTGGGGGTGTGTGTGTGTGTGTGTGCGCAGGGGACTATTCACCAGCCATGTTGAGCTGAAATCAGACGTGAGATACATACCAACACAAGACAACGGGTCGTGCAAACCCATGGGGCTCCCCCCTCCCTCCCTCCCTCCCTCCCTCATTCCATCCATTTCTCCTCTTGTTATCCATCCCAATACATGCAAGATGAAATGATAGATAGATAGATAGATAGATAGATAGATAGATAGATAGATAGATAGATAGATAGATAGATAGATATAGAGGGAAAGCTAGAGAGATAGATAATGGATAGATAGGAGAGAGGATAGAGATAGATGATAGATAGATAGATAGATAGATAGATAGATAGATAGATAGATAGATAGATAGATAGATAGATATAGAGAGAAAGCTAGAGGAGAGATAGAGAGAGGATAGATAAGAGAGAGAGAGGATAGAGATAGATGATATAGATAGATAGATAATGATAAATATATATGATTGATAGAAAGATGATAAATAAATATGATAGATGTATGTGTGTGAGAGAGAGAAGGCTAGAGGAGAGATAAAGGGGGAGAAACAATGGATAGAAGAGAGGGAGAGGGAGAGAGAGAGAGAGAGAGAGAGAGAGAAAGGAGAGAGAGAATTATGTAGATAGATGAGAGAGGGACAGAGAAAGACAATGGATAGAAGAGAGGTGGGGAGAGAATGAGGAAGATAGGAGAGAGAGAGAGAGAGAGAGAGAGAGAGAGATGAGATGAGATGTTTCCTTGGCGCTGCTGGAAGGTGAACCTTGCGCCTCTAACGCGGGCGGGCAATCCCCGCGCAAGAATTCCACGCCAGCGAAGGAACCTCCGGCGGCGGCTACACGCCAAAGTCCCGCTGCACCACCGGGCGACTCGTGACCCCCTCCCCTTTGCCCCCTCTCTTTTTCAGCTCCCCCCCTTTTTTTCACCATCCTAATTGTGGCACACCCCGTTTTCTTCGGATCGCCCCCCAGCTGCGTCCAAAGCCCTCCTGCACTGAGCGTGCCGAAGCGACGGATTAAGGGTAAGGGGGGCGTTTAGAGAATGGGGAGGGGGCCTTACCATGGCAGTCCCGAAGATCTTCCTGGCCACGCCACGCGCGATCTGTCCGTCGGCTTCAACCTTCAGGAAGGTGAAAACGGTCGATTTGGGAAGGCGGGGGGGTCTCTTTTCCGAAAAGAACCCCCCTCCCCGAAAAAAAAATTCTTCTTTTTTAAGCCCAAAGGGAGGCTTGCGCTAAAGACCCAATCGAGACAGGACCGAAAGGAGAGGAAAAACCGGGATTTGGGGTGCTGAAGTCCTCGAGAGGAGAAACCTATTTTTCTTTCGCTCGAAAAAATAACAAATAATAGAAAAAAAAATCGAAGTGTCAGGCGCTCTTCTCTCCTCAATGCTGCCTAGCGCCTTGAAATGTGGGCTTGGGAGCTGTCCCACGCCCCTAGCCAATTTTCTCCCGCCCGGGAAGGCATCACAGATGGATGTGATGAGGAGAAAGGGAACCGGAGGTTTAAAAGAAATCTTTAAAAAAGAAGAAGAAATATTATAGTGGGGAGGACGCTACTCTAGCTTCGCCCTTTGGAAAAAGCTCTAATCCGGATACAGAGGGGGGAAGGACAAAAGATCCGCATCCGAAACAGCGTCGTGAGAACCACAGGAGCGAGTGTGATCCCAATCCGGCGCGTCCTGCAGAAAAATTCCCCAGGTTTTCCCTTCTCCCTCCCTCCTCCTGAGGGGCGGGGGGCGGCGGGAGGGGGTGGGCAGGAGCTGGGAGGAGTCTGCAGCCAATCACTTGGCGGGGCCAGAGCGCCAGAGCCAATGGAGAGAGGTGAGAGGCGTGGTCTCCTCTGAGTGCTTCTTTCAACCGAACCTTCGGTGGTTCTTCCGCGCAGAGAAGATGGGACATTGAGGTCTAGCCGCATGGGGAGTAAACTGAAGGAGGAAGATAGAAAAGCGAGGGGGGGAATCGAACGGAAGAGTCCCTAAAACAATAAGATCCCTTCTTTTGTAAAGAACTTGACCCTGAGTTCAAGATCTACCTTAACCGCGAAAGCCAGATGAATGTCTTTGGGTCTGTCACTTTGTTCCAGCCCTACCCACCTCAAAGGGTTGTTATGGGGGAAAGTAGAAGGAGGAAGGCACACTGGATATGTTCACTGTCCTGGGTTATTTGTAAAAAATAAAAGTACGGTTCAAAGACCATAAATAATCCTGATTTTCTGTATTTGGCACCCACAGCCCCCCTGTGAGGTTTTCATAAGCAAAGGAGTGCAGGGCAGTTCAGAGTAAATTGTTGCAGATAGATTTCCCTTGGACCTGGAGGCTTTTAAGCTGTTTTTCTCAACCTTGAAGATGTGCATATACTTCAATCCCCAGAATTCCTCAGCCAACTCTCAAGTTCTCAGGTTTGAGAAACAGTCTTCTTCATAGACTGCGCCTGGTGCTGGAGGTTCTAGTCTTACTCTCTTCTTAATTACCAGTGCTGTTGATAATTTGGCTGCTATTCAGCCTTTAGTGCTAGCTTCTGCCAAGTATATCTATATCTATATATATATATAGATCTATCTATCTATCTATCTATCTATCTATCTATCTATCTATCTATCTATCTATCTATCTATCTATCTATCTATCTAAAAACGGCTAAGGAATTCTGGGAGTTGAAGTTCATCCCTCTTAAGTTTGCCAAGTGTGAAAAACCTTGCCCTTAAAACACTGCAGTATTTAGTTGTACATGCACACAAACACCCCTCCCACAAACACACACACTCTTACAAACATTGTTATTTGTGGTCCTGTTTTCATATAAATGCCTAATCATTAAAGGAAGGGACCCCCAAAAAACCACCCCTCTCTAAAATTAGCATTTTGTCATTTGGGAAAGAATGCTTTGGCTTAATGGATTAAAAAAAAAAAAAAAAACCACCCTTCACTTGGAAAGGTAGCATGTCAGGGCAAAGATTTTTCCTCTACCTTTCTAGAGGCAGGGTTTTTTTTTTTTTTTAAGTCCAAATTCACAGTTTTGTGTGACAAGGGACAGGACAGGTTTGGCAAGAATGAAAAGATCTGAATTAGTGAGCGGAAGAATATTTATTTTACTTTTTTTATTGGTTAAATTAAAATGATAACAAAAATAAATTTGTTTAATTAATTTAATTAATGAATTATTAATTGAATACACTTGCTAAGTTTAGATTTGATATGGGAAGTTTGGACATATAAAGGGGGTTCTTGAATTTCAACCACTCGTTTAGTGATGATTTGAAATTACAACGGCACTGAAGGAAGTGACTTAGAACCAGTCCTCGCTCTCACGACCTGTCACAGCATCTCCCATGGTCACGTGATCAAAATTCGGATGCTTGGCAACTGACTCACATTTATGATGGTCGTAGTTGTCCCGCGGTCACATGATCCCTTTTTGTGACCTTCTGACAAAAATGGGAGGACAGATTCACTTAACTGTGTTACTCACTTAACAACTGCAGGGATTCACTTAACAACCATGTTACTCACTTAACAACTGCGGGGATTCACTTAACAACCATGTTACTCACTTAACAACTGTAGGGATTCACTTAACAACCATGTTACTCACTTAACAATTGCGGGCATTCACTTAACAACCATGTTACTCACTTAACAACTGCGGGCATTCACTTAACAACCATGTTACTCACTTAACAACTGCGGGGATTCATTTAACAACCATGTTACTCACTTAACAACTGCGGGGATTCACTTAACAACCATGTTACTCACTTAACAACTGCGAGGATTCACTTAACAACCATGTTACTTACTTAACAACTGCGGGGATTCACTTAACAACCATGTTACTCACTTAACAACTGCGGGGATTCACTTAACAACCATGTTACTCACTTAACAACTGCGGGGATTCACTTAACAACCATGTTACTTACTTAACAACTGCGGGGATTCACTTAACAACCATGTTACTCACTTAACAACTGCGGGGATTCACTTAACAACCATGTTATTCACTGAAGAATTGCGGGGATTCCCTTAACAACCATGTTACTCACTGAACAACTGCAGGGATTCCCTTAACAACCACGTTACTAATTTCACTATTGCAACGATGGACTCAAGTGAAATGGGGCAAAACTCAATTGACAAATGTCTTGCTTAGGAAGGGAAATTTTCAGCTCCATTGCAGTCATAAGGCGAGGACTACCCCGGAGCAGTTGTGTTTATCTCAGCAAGCGAGTTTATCTTCAGTCAAAGGGGAAAAAAACAGCTTGCAAACCTCAGGGAGGACACATCCATCATACACAATGAAAATCTTGTTATCAATTTATGAGCCATAAAAGAGCCACAATCCAACCTAAAGGAAACATTTAAATTGCACTGCAGGCTGTGATCATCTGCATCCGTCAAGGAGGAGAGCTGTCTTCAAATCCTGCCATGCAGGTAGCCCTTGGCTCACAACCCTTCGTTTAGTGACCGTTCGAAGTTACAACAGCAGTGAAAAAAGTGACTTACGGCAGTTTTTCACACTTATGACCGTTGCAGCATCCCCCATGATCAAAAATCAGGCGGTTGGCAACTGACTCATATTTATGACGATCGCAGCATCCCAGGGGTCACGTGATCCCCTTTTGCGACCTTTTGTCAAGCAAAGTCAATGGGGGAAGCCGGATTCACTTAACAACTGGGTTGCCAACTTAGCAGTGATTCACTTAACAACTGTGGCAAGAAAGGTCATGAAATGAGGCAAAATTCACAACAAATGTTCACTTAGCAACAGAAATTCGAGGTTCGATTGTGGCTGTTAGTTGAGGACTCCCACAATGTGGGAGACCTTTTGGAAAACAGCATCTTTAATTTAGGCACCAGCAGTGTAAAGATTGAATTCCCGGGCCTGCCCGGCTGGGTTGTCGTCAAAATATTATTTTTACTGTTTATATTGATTATTTACACAGTCAGCCAGATGTTCAGACTATATTTGCCTTTTTGTCCACCTTTTGGAGTCCTTCCCAAGGATTTGGGATAGGCAGATAGGGATGCTTGGTGGAGTGGTGTTTCAAGTAAATTGCCTTCCGCAATTGACTGATGGGGATCTTGTCAATGTCAGTGGTGTTCAAGAGAGGTTATGATATTTTGTTGCCAAAATTGCTATTACTGTTATATATTGTGTCATGTTTCCCTGCCTTTTAATTTTTTTAAGCAGGCCAGAGTCATCTCTAGGTGAAATGGGAAGAAAGAAAGAAAGAAAGAAAGAAAGAAAGAAAGAAAGAAAGAAAGAAAGAAAGAAAGAAAGAAAGAAAGAAAGAAAGAAAGAAAGAAAGAAAGAAAGAAAGGGACGGAGGGAGGGAGGGAGGGAGGGAGGGAGGAAGGAAGGAAGGAAGGAGAAAGAAGACAGACAGAAAGAAAGAAAGAAAGAAAGAAGAAAGAAAAAAGAAAGAAAAAAGAAAGAGAGAGAGAAGGAAGGAGAGAAAGAAAGAGAAAGTGAAAGAAAGAAGAAAAAGGAGGGAAAGAGAAAGGAAAAAAAGAAAAAGAAAGGAAGAAAGGAAGGAAGGAAGGAAGAAAGGAAGGAAGGAAGGAAGGAAGGAAGGAGAAAGAGGACAGAAACAAAGAAAGAAAGAAAGAAAGAAAGAAGAAAGAAAAAAGAAAGAGAGAGAGAGAAGGAAGGATAGAAAGAAAGAGAAAATGAAAAAAAGAAGAAAGAGGAGGGAAAGAGAAAGGAAAAGAAAGAAAGAAAGAAAGAAAGAAAGGAGAAAGAGGACAGAAAGAAAAAAAAAGAAAGAAAAGAGAGAGAAGGAAGAATAGAAAGAAAGAGAAAGTGGAAAAGAAAAAGGAGGGAAAGAGAAAGGAAAAGAAAGAAAAAGAAAGAAAGAAAGAAAGAAAGAAAAGAAAGGAGAGAGAAAGAAAGAAAAATGGAAAGAGAGAAAGAAAAAGAAAAAAAAAGAAAAAGAAAGGGAAGGAAGAAAGGAAGGAAGGAAGGAAGGAGAGAGAAAGAAAGAGAGATGGAGATTGAGATGAAAGAAGGAGAAAGAAAAATGAAGGAGTGAGAGAGAGGAAGGAGGGAAGGAAGGAAGAAAGGAAAGAAAGAGGAAGAATGGATAGATGGATGGAAGGAAGGAAAGAAAAGGGAAAAAAGGAAGGAGAGCGAGAGAAAAAAAGAGAAAAGTAAGAAAGAATGAAAGAAAGGAAAGAAAGAAAAAGAAAGAACAAAAGAAAGATGATAATCATAGCAAAGATATACGTAGTCCTCGACTTACGAGCCCAACTGAGCCTACATTTCCACTGCAAAGCAAGATAGTTGTTAACCAAATTTTGCCACTTTATGACCTTCCTTGCCACAGTTGTTAAATGAATCATTGCAGTTGCTAAGTGAATCTGGTTTTCCCATTGACTTTGCTTATAAGAAGGTCGCAAAATGGGATCACATGATCCCAGGGACGCTGCGATCGTCATCAATACGAGTGCAGCTACCCAGCGCCTGAATGGCAGACTCCCCTGCTGTCAGGGTCACTTGGACGTCCATGGAGAGCTGAGGTGACACTAATGGTGGGATTCAAATAGGTGAACAGCCGGTTCTCTTCATGGATGCCACTTCCGGAAGTCCATTCTGGGCCTGGGCAACAAAAAAATTAGCTACCTGTTCTGCCGAACTGGTGCGAACCAGCTGAATGCCACCCCTGAGGTGTACCCGGTGAGATTTTTCT